CATGACACTTTGTAACCAGAGTAACTTCACTATGTGAACACTTTTGTAGTATGGAACTAGTTCTTAAGACTTTTGCATTTTGCTTGATACTTGTAATATTTGTGTACAAGTTAATGGGAAATGTGCATTAAAAGGAACTTTTCTGTACCATGCCAATCATAATTTTATACAATAAATTCACTCCAATTTCTTTAAAGAGATATGTATTAAATGTCTAGGTCACTACAAAGCGGTAGTTGGAAATAAGGTGCAATGAAGTGTTGTCTCTGTATGTGCACACAAAGGTACTTGTCTACCTTGAAGAAGTAACAAGTTAGGATTTCAGAATGAACTCCATGGGTGGTGAGTTACTGACGAGGGAAGGGTATTTTAAAAATTATTATTATTTAAAGAAATACTTACTTACTTCTGTTAAATGCTTTGATGGTTGGATATCTGTAGCTGCCTTTTTGGATTGAAGAACAAGGGTATCCATGTGCTTATGAGAAGTGTGCTAATGAACTGAAAGACTGATATTTTTAAATGCAAGAGCGATGTGATGAATTTTTTCAGATATTCTTCCTACAATTAAAGATGGTATGAACAGCTTAAATAATACGTGACAAGTCACATTCACAAATGCTTTTGTAGCTGCAGTGGTGGTGAAATTTCTGCTTTTTGTACACAAAACATACCTAAATTACAAGTCATGTAGAAGATAAAATTTCTGCAGCATGGCAACAGTTTTACTTCCTCCTTCTTGTGGGAAGAGCAACTGTGTAATAAATCTACCAAAATCTAACTTCATACTGTCTGAGAGGAAAATCTCTTTTTTTTTTTTTTTGTCCAACAGCTTTACATCCTATTTTTATACTTTTTTTTTTTTTTTTTTTTTTAAACATAAGTTCAGCTGGCATTGAGAGGTAAAATTTGAGGAACAGAGAAGCTGCAGTTCCATGGTGCGTGGAACATACCAGTTGCTATGTGTTCATTTTCATCATTTTGTCCAAGGCTGGTAGGATTTGGATTTTGACTGACCAAGGTAATCAGTGGCCTTGCAAATAACCTAGGATATGATGTGTAAGTAGAAACACTATAAATGCACTCCATTCACTCTGAGGTCATTCTTAATGACAGAAGCAAATAGCTGAAGTAATTATGACAGTTTTCCTCATGATAAATTCAAAATTGGTACCAGTCCCATCCATACAATAAGAAGATGGTTTGAACTGGAGAAATAGGAAATTGAATGCAGAGTAAAAGCTGATACGAATGCTGCACCTGATGGAGAACATGTAGTTGCCGCAGAAAGCAGCTTGTCCCTGGCCTCTTGCATCCCAAAGAATATGTATCCAACAATACGGGATAGGTCTAAGGCACAACCCCTTTTCATGGATATTGGCACTTGTGTGCTATTCTGCTGTACTGACTAATTTTTAATTTATGTTAATTTGTTTGTGATAAGTAGGAATAACTGAGTCTACAGTTTCAGTCCTTCTGTCCCTTTCCTCCTTCTGTAAGTTATTATGTACTGCTAAATTTAAAACTACATTTTAATCAAGTATTATGTTCATTAATGCAAGATAAGTCCTTCTGGCTGGCCATGTGACTAATGTGTAATTGGTTGTGTCTGGACTCTTGATTAATTTGGAAAATGATCAGGGTGAGATTAGCTGCGGTGAGTGTGCAAGGTCTTTCTTCTAATTATTTAGATAACATGGTGAGAAAAAATAGCAGAATAGGTTTATGGCAGTGTATCATTTGTTTTGCTTTGGGGGGGAAAATATCAGGAAAAGGGTTTGATCTGTTCTTACCTTGGGACATGAATATTGGGTGTCAGTTTGGAGGATACAAGGGAATTTTGCTGAGATGTAGCACGAGGAAACTTGGGCAGCTCGAGGTAAGCAGGTGCCTGGCTTGGTGAAGAGGGTGATGTAAAGCCTGTATCTTCAGGCTTTTTTTCTTTCTCTTTTGACATTTCAATCACATTTCTCCTATTAGAGCACTTCAGTTTGTCTTGGTAACTGAGGTGCAAATGTATTTACTAAGTGATGTCCAGGCATCTGGCCCAAGGAGGAGCTTGGTAGGGCAGAGGCCCCAGCTCTGCCTGTGGAAGGAAGGTTTCTCCCTGCTCCCAGTGAGCTGCAGTTCTTTCCCTTAAAGGTTGTGGGTGGGAGGAAGGCAGGGAAGGCCTGTGGTGATGGACTATTCTAATAGCAAATTTTTGCTCGCTGCCTTAGAAATTTGATTGCAAGTATTCTCTGTTAAATGTGAGAAGTAGTAGGCGGTGAGGGAGTAGACTAATGATTTCTCTTTGACTCTGATTTTTGTGAGGGAGTAACAATTTGCTTCAGTAACAATTTGTTTCAGTACTAGATGAAACACCCAGGTGGTAGAGGGGTGGGATTTTGTTGTGGTGGTGGTTTGTTGATTTTTTTTCTGTTTTTGTTTTTCTTTGCGTTACTAGTGGAAGCAAACGATGCTGAAATGTCAGTGACAGGAAGTTAGCAACGATCGCTTTGATTCTTGGCATATTATGACTTTCAGATGTCTTTCACAGCTACTGGAAACAGTTTGTCAGAGGCAGCTAGGTGGCCTCTTAAGTATGAGCGTCTCCACTGACCGCATACCTCTGACGCTAGGGTCTGTTTTTGTCTCCTCAGCCAGCAAAGTCCAAGCCAGCAGCCTAGCTGGCTCCATGGATAGCTCTCATTAGAAGGGCAGAGAATCATTTGCTGCTGCCCCTCTGGTATCTTATGAGGGGGAAGTACATGGTGGTTGGTTCGCCTGCCTGAATTCCTAAGGCTTCCTTGTGGCATTGCTCAGCATAGCTCTAGTGGAGCTGGTGGAGGAAGCCAGAGGGGCAGGGATTGCTGAGGAGACGACAGAGGTTGCTTTCTCAAAAACAAACAAACACCAAAACAAAACCAAAAAATCCACAACCCATCTGCACCCTAACCCTCAGAAATCATAAAACTCACCCTGCTCTGTCAGTAAATGGATATCCTGAGAGCAGGGTGCTCCCACTGTGGAAGTGCTGGGGTGCAGTGTTGTGGTAGGCCTAAAGAGACCCGTCCTTGCAGCTGGTGCTGTGAATTGATTGGAAATAAGTGATTCAACACATCTTAGCACTGCACTGAGTTCTAGGGTTTGAGGACCCTGGGGATGATACCGCAGCCACACATGCAGCTCCAGGATCACTGAGAGCAGTGCTTCACAAGCAGAGCTGCTGCCTTTTGTGGGAAGTGGTTGCGACAGGACGTGTGTCTCACTCTGGTCTGGGTAAGAGCACGGTTATTTGGTGTTTCTGCACAGTGAGTTGAACTCTGAGTTTCACGGGGTTTCTTTTCACCGCAACTGAAGGAAGCACCCCCATGCATCGCTGCAGTGGTTTACCAGATGTGTGGTTACCATTTAGTTTGCAGCCAAACAGAAGACTCAGATACGTGTACGCATGCTGGCCCAGCATTAAACAGGTCTTTTCCTGTGGCTGGCTTCTTTCAGCTGAGGAATCTGTGTTTTTTCCGGCTACACCAGTCAGTCTAATAACAGATATCTCTCCCTGCAAATGGTGCTTCCTCAGATAAAATGGTTACGGCAATGCTGCTGTGTCTTTCAAACAAGCTTTGAGGTGGGAAAGTGGCACGGTCTGGAGGAAGAGCTCTGAACTCCTCCAAACCCTTGGCATTTGCGCTGGGGAAACCAATCTTGTGGTAATGACTTTTAAAAATGTTTCCATAAAGAAGCAGCTTGAGACTGGAATTGAAAACTTAAAGGAAGGAGGGGAAAAGTTGCAATTAGTGAAAGAGTATTAGTATACTTACCAGGAGGTAAAATCCTGGCAGCTATAATTAGATAAGGTTATTCTCCTCTTTTCAATGAGTCATTCCTCAGAGAATAGATTAAAAGCATTTTTTTTTAAATCCTTTTCACTTGTTAAAACTCAAGTAGAGAAAGGAGAGGGAGTTACAGAAGAATGTATTAACAAGCTAATCTTCAGAAAGTCTGGAATTGCAGAAAATGCAGACTCATAAAGATTACTGAATATTAACCTGGAAGCAAGGCAGGAATTTGCTTTTATTAGTGGTGGATATGTTGGTAAAAATCTACTTTTCTTCACTATGTCCCCTCTGATAAACAGTAAAGGAAAGATAGATAGCCATGTAGTTGGTGCCTGGCTAGATTTGTATCATATGGCTTATATTAAATTTCTTTTGGGGACAAGTCTGGGGATTCCATTTTGGGGGTTGCGTGTAGTGCAGAAGGTTTGCCAGGTCTATGGCTTGGGATCAGCCAAATGGATAGCAACAGTAGCATGTCACGAACTTGAGCAATAATTCCTTCCTCTTATCTTTGTGGACCTAAAGGAAGGCTGTTTCTGCCTGATAATGAATATCAATATCCTTAATGATATTTATATTATTTCAGGTATCTTTGATGGAAGCCCTTTACAGGTGGAATGTGTGCTTGCACTTGCCTAAGAGATGAATCTTCTCCTAAAAACCTAATTCACCTAATTATTTAAGCATTATGCTATCCAGGTTGGAAACCTCTGCCTCAAGTGAGGACACGTTGATCAGCTGAGGATCCTTTGAAAAGCAGTGTGTCCCCCCAGTTATAGCATTATAGAGTAATGAAAATTGTAGGGGACCCCTGGAGGTTGTGCAGTCCAGCCCCTGCTCAGGTGACATCCAGATAGATCAGGTTGTCCATGGCCACATCCAGCTGAGGCTTGAATATCTTCAGGGGTGGACGATCCCCAAGCCTGGGTGACCCGGTCTTGTCTCAGCCCACCCTCACAGTGGAAGCATTTTACCTGACACTGGGTCATTATTTCTTGCACTGCAGTTCAGAAGGTCGTGTTCACACATGCAGCCCTGAGGCCAGAGCAACGCACGGTTTTGCTTGTCGTTCTGTGGTTGTAATGAAATGCAGGCACTTCACTGATTTCCATTGCAAAGCAGTTATTTGTGGAAGGTCTTGGATGAGGAGAAAAGCATCTCCAAACGCTGACCTGGCTACGCTACAGCTGGAGAGCAAAGACGAATATGAATTCCCAAGTGATATCTCCGACTAATTTTGGCTTTGTGCTGCTGAATATGTATTTTTGCCATTTTGTGGAGTAAGTCCTTAGACATGTCCCCAAACATTGAATTTTTGAATTGTTGTATTTAATTACTAAAATGAAGTAACTACACCATGTTATTTAATTTGTAAATTTTCGTAAATTCCATTGAAGTTATTGAACTGATCTTTTTAAAAGTAGCATTAGTTTAAAGTAATATCAAATAAAAGTAATATTATAATGTCAGTCATTAAGGAAGGACAGCATGCTTTTCTTCATAGAGATAAATGTCTACAATAATGACAATTACTAAAAATAAAACACGCTTCCAAATATATATTTTAAATAATGCAAGGTTGCTGTGAAGCATTTGTAGGCCTGTGGAGTTCCAACAATTATTTTATCTAGAAAATTGTGTAAAGGTAGCAGGTGTTTAACTGTAGCAGTACAATGCTAATTCTACAAACAGAGGAGAAAAATATCTTAAAAAAGAAAAAAAAGTTTGAACTTCTTACAAGACACTGAAAGTCCTGGTGTGTCTAAAAAGTGTTAAATACCCAGAGACCAGCTTTCTGAAAGTACTTTGGTGCTGAAAGGATGTGTAAAGCTGGGTACCATGGGTCTCCAAGAGCACTTTGGTGCCCTGCAGCGCTGAACATTTCTGGGTGACATTTACCAGTATGTCTGAGAAGTGATCCACGACTTTGTCCTCTGACCTACTAGCATCTGTATTACTCCATCTTGCACTCAGTGAGACATAGTAGGGTCAGAGTGGGAGTGTAATGGCATCTTCTGCAAAGCAGCATTTTCCTGATCCCAATTCCTGGTGATTTCTGGACTTGGCAGGACTCGAATCTTCACTCACGCTGAATTGAGATGCTGTGATTGCAGTGTCCTTGGCTCTTTGAGAGGGACTGTGTCTTGCTGGGTTGCCTCAGGCGTGCTTTCCTCTAGTTTGGGAAAGAGAAATTGAAGTGATAAACCTTCCTTGAAATTTTGCCAAACCTTGGTCTACATAGATGTCATTTAAATGCAAACTGCAGAACAAGCTCAGAAGCACACTTAATTTAATATAAATCACAAGCAAAGGATGTGAAACATCCTTTCCTTGTATTGAATCACAGGGCTGTGAACCAGACCTGCTCCCTAATAACATCTTAAATTTCCCAAGCTAAATCATGTGGGCTGGTGTGCTGGAGCTGTAAAGTAACGCAAAGCAAAAGCGCTGCTTGCTATATATGGCCTCGCTTCACTGTAAAGATCTCTCAGCATATGTCTGAGATGATCTTGAAGGTAGGGCTGACACATTTTGCTTGTACTCTTTGTACTGCGCACAGGAAGAGAGAAGAGGCACAGAACAAAGAGGTTAGGAAATGAGTTGTTCGTGGACGTGGCTGCAGATTAAGTAGGCTAACAGCCTTGTGATCTCAGGCACACAGGCATTTTGGGCTTTAAAGCACATTTCTTCTTGATCTGACCAAAGGAACTTAGCAGCAGTACAATTTTAATCTGTACAGCAATTTTGCACAAAGGGTTTTGTGGGACTGCGTGCACAGCTTACGAGTCAAAAATCTCCTCTCAGATTCCCACCCTTGCAAAAACAACCTTGGAAGTCTGGCCCTGGGACAGCTTCTGTGAAACTAACTCTGAGATGCTGCACTCGTGGCTTTGTAGGGAGGTACATCAGGAAGCAAATACTGCCAAATCAGGCTTGCAATTGTATGCAGTAGCATCCTGGTTTTACCCCAAAACACATCGGTCTTTCCAAAGATGTTTCTGATTCCCAGCAAGCGAAGAGAAGCACTCATTGTTGAAGGCAAATACCATTTGTTAGCAAAAGTTGGCTTGGGATAAAGTTTTATTCCATGTGGATATAATTCCTTTCAGTAGATGCAGTATGCAAGATCAGATCAACTGCTATTTGGCAAGGCTGAAATTTTGCATTAAGATAGAATTAGTATGCTTTATTATCTTGTGTCAATATTCTTACAATATTAACTTCACATGGATCTCAAGAACTCGGCATTATGTCTAGATTTGTGCCTTCTGATGTACACTTAACAGTTTGGGGATTTAGTAATTAAAATACAGATGGTGCCCAGCTAGTTTGATCATCTCATTAAAATGGAAATAGAGCAGATAAAAGCAAAACCAATCGTATTTTAAAATTTAAGTAAAATGTAATCATATACATTTAAGATTATTTTATCAATATATTCATATATAAACGCATTAAATCTCTAGCTTCTACTTAAAGGCTTAAGAAATGTGCTGGGGTGAAAAAGTGGTATATTGAATACGCAAAACTGGGGGGGGGGGGGTGAGAGAGAACTCCCCCGCTGTATCTGACATCCTCCCCTTGTTCTGCATAAGAAAAAAAAATACTCATTTTCCAAGTGTTCTCCATTTTTTCAAGGGGTTTAGATCTTAGAGATCTAACAGAATGCAGGAATATTGATTAAAACATTCCCTTTACATTCATCTGCAGAGACAGGAAATAAGTTCAACAAATATTTAGTTGATATTACTTATCAAAAAGAATAATAGAAAAGGAATAGCTGTCCTTCCCTTTGTCCCTCCTTCCCCTTGAACATAGGGATGAGGTTTCCAGCAGCACTTCTGGAAAATGTCAAAGTTTTGACTTAATTAAAGTCTGAGTTGAGCACAGAGGTAAGCTCATGCATTTTTGCAAAACAGTGGTTTGTAAAGTAGTACAATATCCCCCAAAGAAAGCTCTCATGTTAAATGTTAGATTAAGTGAAATATTTTAATCCTTCCATTATTGAAATACCATTCTTTTAATAATCAGAGTAATATTTAGTGGAGAAAACCTGCATAAAAAATAAAAGGTATGTTCATTCATTGTGAGCTACAGATGGCTCGACCTCTTGTGGAACAGTATATTGCAGTCTAGGTCAGAGTGAAGGAAAAAAAAATCACTAAAAATATAAGGACATTTTTAGGTAGGTAGGCAGGCTGGCTACATTTAGGCAGACAGGCAGCCTTTTATACAGTGCTCATTTTGACCATCTTTCTCTCTTCCCCCATTTCCTACTCTCAAAATGGATTCCTTGTATTGACAAGGTCAGTATCTGTTACAGAATTATTTATTATTATTATTTTTATTTTTGGAAAATGGCTGGGATTTCAGAAGATTGGGAATCTTTGGGACTCCTGTGGAAGCAGGACTTGCTCCTGTCTCTTTAGCGGAGCTGCTTCTCCCCTGACAGCATGTTCTGCCCTTGCATTGCTGTCTGCCTGGCTTTTCACTTGCAGCAGAAGAGGCAAAGATCAGCTGCCACGTGCCCCCCAGATTTGCCCATAATAAGAAAACAAACTGATGCAAGCCTGACCTTGAGTTTTCTTCCAGAGGGATGCTTTGGGGTAGAAAACTGCTTTGTATTCTGTTAGCTTGACCCATTTGCGTGCAGAGCAGTAATCATCTCTCTTTAGATTTAAAATAAACAAAGGAACAAAAACCAACCAGTCAAACACCACTGAGTCTCTGGGTCTTATTAGGAGCTTCCTGGTGCTGATTAACGACTTCAACTAATTAATGGGGGAGTGCCCTGTGTGGTCATAAGGGAGGGGAGTTCTGGTCTGCAGCCTGTAATCTCCCTGTCTGCGTCTTCCCAAGCAATGATTTGTGCAGAAAGCCGAATGATTATTGATTACAGGATCCTTATGGTCTGTGCTGGGTGGAAGAAGTGGGGAGAATAACAGCAAAAGTTCTTTTCTTCCTTTGGTCTCTTCTGCTAATGATTTACTTCCACCAGCACTATCTAAAGAGGAGCGGCACAGTTTGGCAAGCAGGTTGACAGGCCGTAATTAACAGGGAGCTAAGCTGTGAACATACTAATAAATTGCATGCATCTGGGGCTGTTGGCTGGCACCGAGACGTAGTGTCATGGAACAGCCTCTGTCTGTACTTTTCCTGTTAAACAGGGCGGATGCATCTGCGTTGCCTGCTGGATGAATGCCCCAGCCATGCTTGCTCCCAGCTCATCCTGGAAGACTTTAGGAGGATGCTGGTTAGCTGGTAAACCCTCCTGGGGACTATTTAGTCATGTACCCCAGTGAGTGAATGCTCAAGGACATTCCCTGGTGCTTCTTAACTTACTGATATATATATTTTTTTAACTTTTTTTTTTTTTTTTTCCAGCTGTGGAGTGGTTGCAGATTTTTTTTTCCTGCTTTCTGGGAAGTGTGCTTTGAGAAACTGCTTGCAAAAAGGTAGATCCAAAGCACAGCCTGGCCAAACCACCTGTGGAGCAGGGTGGTGCATGTGTATGCTGCATGCTAGAGTATGTGAAATCAGAAAAATACAAATTTATCAGACAGCAGCTGTGGGAAAGCAGTGTGGGCTGCCATGATGCCATTGTAATCATGTACAGCTGTCCTCAGTGGTAACACTCACACTAAAGCTGCACATGGATAACCCTTCTCCTGTTGACCAAATCTATATACCTCAAACAGTCTCATTGCTTGGTGGCCTTCCAAAATCCAGGTCCCCACAAAACTAGCATGTTTGAATCAAAAAAGAAAAGAAAAAAAGAAAAAAAGGGGGGGTTCGGGGGGGGGGGGGAAGGAAGGGCTGGCCTGTGGCAATAGCCCTATATTAGAAGCAGGAAGTCTGAAGCTGTCTGCTGTGATCTGGGGGAAGCATTTTTGTGCTTCTGCTCCTCATCTGTAAACAGAGATGGTTTCAGTTTTTGTGTGTGCTTAGGCTGTGGCAGCACGGGCTTGCTCATGGTGCAAGCAGCTACAGGCTTACTGCAGAGGGATCCTGCAGCTGCCTGACACCTCCAGGCTCTGCTGTAATGTTGGCAACTGAGAACCGGGTCATATGTAGCTCTCCAGATGATGGGGATTTGCAATTCCTTAGAACATACAGAAAAATCTCCCTGGGGGAGTAAAGACTGTATTTAGTTTTCACTCCTCCAATGTGCAAGAAACCTTCTCAGGGTTTTAAGTTAGGAAGGGATTTATGGTAGAAGTTATTATATGACATAATTACTTGTAACAGCAGGGGACCAAATGCAAGTAAAAGGATGGGGGAGGCCGTGTTAGGGCAGCGTGACTGTGATTTGGCTGTGTGCTTGTTTGTACATAGCATCTAATCACTTGTCTATAGCTATGCAGCACTGGAATCCTGCAGAAATACTGTATCTCTATCCTCAAAAATGAGATGCCAGCTATAACTGTGTGCTATGAAATATTCAGCACTGCCTTCCTACTGCAGAGAGTTTGAAAGACGTGCTGCTAATGTTGGTGTAACAGTGTCTCGTCTGATTTCACACTCAATACAGTCTGTGCTGGCTGAGATGCCACACGAACAGCTGATGTCTGTCAGTAGCTGGCTTGGGGACTGAGTGGTGAGGAAAGGTAATTGGAAGAGTAATTAGATTCCAATTAATAGCTGTTAAGGCATCTGCCTTCTTTAGCTTGTTTTCCCTTGCAGTATTACACAGTCTTCCTAGGTGACAAGCCACGAGCAGATTTAATAGGCTCTGGATGTTTCAGACGACTTGAAGCTTCATGCTTCCACATTTTGTTGACTTTTTGAAAACTAAAGTATCCGGAGTTGTGGCCGTGAAACAAGAAGCTCCTAATGAGTAATGTCAGCCATGTGTAAAGCAGAATACACTTTTACTGATCACAGTATTGCCTCTCACTTTGTGCTATTGTCTTAAATAGCCATAGGGATATGAAGGGAAAAGACAACTGCCCCTGCCCCCTTGATTTACTGCAGTCAAAGCTTATGATGTGTGCTCATGTGGACAAGGTGTATCTGCTGCTACCTGCAGGCCTAGTCCTATGTTATCTTCTCTCTCCACCCCATTTCTGACCTTTCTATACATTCCTTGGTAGTATCTGACTGACCAGCCTGAATCAGTGATCCCTCAAATCATGAAGTGTTTTCAGTTCTCACCAGAATCAATGGAAAATAAGGTGACTGCTTTGGGAGCTCCCATCCACAGTTACAGTATTGTCAGAGGATGTGCATGGTTACACTGCAAACTGTTGCCTGGAAGGAGATGTCTTTGTGCTTTTATGTGAGAGATTTCTTATATAAAACACATACTCCTTATAAAGCTATGAAGATTTTTATTCTCCAGATGTCTGAAAGTGCACGAGGTTCCTGCATCACCCGGTGCCCACTGATGGATAGAGTTACCTGAAGCCTTCAGGAGTATAGAGCTGCCAGCCAAATATCTTTTTCTCACAGTGCCAGTTAAACCAGGTCTATGCTAAGACATGATCTGCCTAATCCTTACATTCCTTCTGGTTAGTATAAAGCATGCTCTAGTACCTGACTGGCAGCACCAAACTTGGTTGTGCTCATGTATATATGTACGGCGCTCACTGCAGTGACCCTCAAGCAGTTTCTGTTTTTTTTGGTTTCCAGACGAGCTGGTGGTACAATTCATATGATTGGATAAATGTTGTCTACTTCAGGATGAAATGAGGAAGTCCCTAAGCATTTCTTGCTGATAGTGACTACCTTAAGGTGACTTGGCTCATGTACACTAGACATAACACGCTTCTGATTCAGAGAGTCCCATCCCTTGCTGACTGGAGCATCAAGATCTGGAGAATAAGCTCCCTAATCATTATCAAAGAAATGAGTCGTGTTTCTGGGCTCACCTGGTGACTGCATGGGGTAAATATGCATCTGGAAGTAGAACTGCTCCTTTTTCTTCTTTGATCTAGATTGATTCAACCTAATTTCTACCTACATTCCTGAATCCTGTCTTTTCTGTTAATGAAGGACTTTTGAAGGCCTTCTGTAAGCCAAAGTACTAGGTTTTCCCATCATCATAAGCAGGAACTCTTTAATGTTTTAACTAAATACACTGTGCTATATGTGTTTAACTAGTCTCAACTCTAAATAACAAGCTCAGCTCTGTGTCCTTAACACAGCAAGCTGTCCTGAAGCTTTGCTGTGGCAGATATATTGCTGGTTTGGGAAGCAGCTGTTCTGTGTACTCAGACTGTATTCACTCAGACAGAAATTGTCCACGAGTTAAACACACACAGGACAAAATCTCTCAGATGTAATGGGGACGGTAGGGATAGTTAAATAATTATTTAACAAAAAATGCATTTTTCTAAGCACTTGCAAGAAGATTGTAATGCTTTTCCTCTATGTGATACGAACAAAACATCTTTTCTGATAATTTTCTCTTTTTATTTCCAACAATACAGTCTGCTGGCTTTTAAGTCATTGGAGTGACAAAATATGAAGTTGTAGCTAAACGTGTGGTTTGCCAAAAAAATTGTTCTTGCAGGAGAAAACACTTTCTGAAACCTCTCAGGCCTCCTCCATCTACTTGGACAGCTTATCAGTTAATATGCTGCTGTTGTTTGTCAACCACTCTTTAAAGCCCTGCAGGTCACATTCTTGCAATAATTTTAGCTTCAGGTGCCTACAACCTGGAATATTTGGCTATGTCAATATTCATCAAGTAAACACGTCTGGGAATGTTCTCCAGCACTAAGACCAACTGGCACAGAATAACCTATGTCCAACTGTTAAACCAGTTTAACCTCCAAAAAAAATGATGTCTGCATCCAAGCTGCCTGCAGGGATACTCATGATGTGAGCTAACTCCTGACATGTAGCCATAGGTTCTTTGTGAAGGTGCTAGTTGATCCAGGTCAAAATAATGTTAAGGGTTTTTCTAACAGCTAACGTATTGAAAATTGAGTTCTGCTGCATGGGAATGTTTCTTAGCTCTATTTGATTTACCAGTGCAGATACAGCCTTTGTTACTGTCAAATTTATTGGCTTTTTTCAAACTACAGCAGATTTTCTGTCTGCTGGCAAAGTGGTATTGAATGTGACCTCACAATTTGTCTTCATTTACAGACTTAGGTTTAGCCTAGAATTTATTTATTTATTTATTTATTATTAACTTAACTGTAGATTTCTTTCCTAAAAGTTTTGGATAGTATCGTGAGAACCTTTCCCAGTGAAGTCAACAATATTAACTGCTCTGTTTGACTTTTCTTTTAAGGTCACTTTCAGCACTTCTGATTTACACTGGTGTAGGTTAAGTCAATATCAAACCTTTTCATTACCCTGCTTTTACATATGACTGTGCTTATTATTCTTTGTGGCATGAGCCAACTTTGATTGTGTATGAGATCTTACCTTCAAATTTATGAGACTTACTCCCTCAGAAATCTTACCCGTGAATATTTCTACATACTGCAGAAATCCAGTGCCCTACTTGGACAAAAGGATGGTCCTTTTGGACTTTTTCTCCATGTCAGTGATTTAACTTTTGTTGAAATTCACTCAACTTCAGCAAGTATAAAGAATGCAAAATAAAGTATATGCGAGCAGGTAACTTTGGCCCCTGCTCTTTTGCTTCAGAGTACAACTTTAATCTTTATGTGTGTATATAATATTTATTTATTTTTTTCCTGTGCTATAAATCTTCTGTTCAGCTGTTGTGAGACTCCAGCAGCTACAGCTTCCCTGTTTACATTCTCCAGCCAGCAAGGATTTCAGCAAGGCGATTGCAGTGCTCTTAAGAGTAAAGTCCAAGACAGAGAAGCCTGGCATGGATTAGTGAAACTAAATAATGTTTCTATCTTGCTTTCAATAACTGTGAGTGGCTTTAAAGTCAAAATTTCTGTATTTTTCAGCATGGATATACCAATTGGTTGAGAGAAGGTATAGTTTTTTACATGATCACACCTGGAGATCAAGTGTTGATCATCTTGTTGGTATTAATTTAAAAAATGTTGAGGACAAAATGCCAGTTATGAAAATATTTATCATCCTTGATAGACTTTCTTGTTTTGCATATAAAGTAGTAAGAGCACAAGCCTCAAATCTTCAAAGGTATCTTAGTTTCTTACACCTGACTCAACTGTATCCTGAGTTAGGAGCTGGAATACCTGCTATATGGATTATATGGAGTATATGGATTTCTTAGCCAAGATGAGGAAGAAGCTCTGAGCATTACTGCAATATGAATATTTCTTAATATCTCTTAGTATTCTGCATATGTAAAAGTTTGAACGCTTATAATGGATCCTATAAATTCCTGACAATGAAGGGACAAAAGAAAACACAAAGCTTATTCAATTTATTTATTTTTCAGCTCTGCTAAACAAAGAAATCTGGTGTTACACAGTTTTCTCAATGCCCCAGCGTAATGGTTGTCATTCAGGGGACAAATAAAGATAGGGAATATGACAGCTTCTTTTATTGTCTCTGAGAATAATCCTTTGGGAGTCTAAATCAAGAAGGCTCAAGAGAAAACCATGATATATTTACGCAGACTAGAGGGGATTAGGCAGCTCAATGACAAAGCAATATGAATATGCATAAGTGTAAGTCAGGCAAGTTAAGAGAAAAAAATACTCATATATAAACAGTGGTTTAACTTCCAGAGTCGGATCTAAGTCAATTTTTTTTTTTTTTTCATGTAGCGATTCAGAGATCA